ATTTTTCAGGTAATGACAGGACCCATAAAACTGTAGAAGCTTAGGAGCTCGTTAAAGCTTCTTAAATCGCAGATAATGGTGGAGTTCATTTGAGAAGATGCCAAGGTGCGGTGAACTATCTGTTCTCTAAAATCAATACTTGTGATTGGCACATCTAGCAAAAAAAAAAAGACAAAAAAAAAAAAAAAAAAGAATACTAAGAGCCTTCTCACTAGGCAGTGCTACTTCAGAGTGACCCATGAGATTACAGCGACGTCACTTCCTGTGTAGCCTTCTCGTCTCAGCTCCGAAAACAAAAGCAGCTGCTAGAGGGCACGTGAGTAAATATCTCACTTACTTAATAACATGCCCTGCTCCGGGATCCAAACACACATGCAGGATGACGAATGGGCCTCTGTGCGTACTGCCACACAAGTACAGAAAGAAGGTTTCATAATCACAAGCCACTCACGAACCAGTCGTCAAATAACCAGTATTAAAAACAATCAAACAATATTATCGATGTGCTTGTTTGAGCGATGGTCTCTCCACTCTCAATTTCTGCATTTACTCAGTGTGCTTTTGAGAGCGTATAAGTGTTTGTGCACAAGCTGCCGGCTCAGTAAGCGAGAGGATCAGAAGTTCTTATGCTGCTTCCTAAGTAAGCATGATTCCCCCCTTTCCCTTTTCACCCTCTCCCTCTTTACTCCTGAGCTGCTCAATCCGACTACCTGGCAACAAAACCTGAGCAGCACGTGTTGCCTCCATGACCAAATTAACATTATCCTGCTGAATCACTGATTCTTTCATTCATTAGACAGCATTTTTTTCCACAATAAAGCTCATTCATTCCCAGACAAAAACACCCTTTTTTCAACTATTTGACCCATTTTTTTCCTGTGTTTTGCATTCAAGCCTTGCCGGCAGTGGGGGAACGAAGATTCTTTTAAAACCACAATCTGAACTGGGTCGGGTGTTGTTTGAAATTGAAAGTTGTTCTTTAGTACTTCTAATATGAATGTAAATTAATGTGTAAAAAGTGCAAAACTATCAAATAATAAACAGACCAGGGATGTCCTAAATGTCATGTTTTACTTCTAGAGCTTCCACTGAGGTTTTCAAATGAAGCTCTGAATGTCTGTTGTCATGTTTTATGGCATTATCACACTAAAAATTAATTAAGCATCCTCAATTTGAATAAACGGATTCCTCGGATTAAATGATTTAGTCTATTTATTGAAACAGAGCTAAAGCCAAAATAGATTTTTTGCTGTTGTGGTTATATAAATGTAATTTATGTTGCTGCTAGACCACCACATTAATATAGGTGCGACTCCCTTTCTGTGCAGCAAGCGGGAGAGCAAACCATTTTATATCTGCAGTGAAATTGTTGTTCGTTCTTTTAAAGGTTACATGCCAACAAATGTGGACTGAAGCAGAATATTTGGTTAGATAAAAAACTTTGGAGGTGACTGCATCTATCTTTTATCAATAAATTTTGACTTTTGGCCGTAACAACGCTGTGGAGTTGTAGGAAATGGTTCACACACGAGGAGTGGGCAACAATCCCACACAGCCATCACTGGAATCCAACTCTACAAATATAGCATAATATTAATAATTTTAGTGTGGCCTTATCTTGGGCTGCAACTGCCCAGAAATACCAGATTTAAACAGAATGAAACGACATGCAAAAAGTGATTTAAGATTCAAATGCCAACGTTACAAAGCTTTGAACTGTTTGTTACAGCCATAAAATAAACAATATTTTGATCAAACATTAGATGCTCACTTAAAATACTTGTTCAAATGTTTGATACTCAATTTCCAAAAGCATTCAAGTTTCTTAAACGTAAAAAAATTCTGGTTTCTTTACCACTCCATGACAGAAAACTTAATATCTTTAGGTTGTGAGGATATCTTCCTGGGCTTTGGGAAACAAAATCAAAAAGTTGAATACTCTCCCTTCACATCTCACTATAAGACAAAACCTATAGATAATGTGGCACACTCCTTATAGAGCACTCTTCCTTCAGCTAACTTCAGCTTGCCTCTTGGCTAGCTAAGACACGACCATATCTGAAATCTGAACCAGAGTCAAACTCGCCTGGTCTTTGTCTGCGTCCCCGCCACAGACACACAGGCCTTTTTTTCTGATGTAGGCCAAACAACCCCTCTCTCTGACAGACTAAACACAGTGCTGGCCAGCCGGGCGGCATTGTACTCCCATTGGCTCATCACACATTCCTCACCCAATTAGAATTCCACTCATACCTGTGGGGGCGGGGCACAGTCAGGGGCAATAACCTCTGTTTGCATCCGGGCTGAAATAATGAGTGACTGGTTCACACACATACAAACACACACCCTCCACAGTCTGAAACATCCACACGCACTTTCACTGCTGTCTTTTATCATCTGAAACACAACTGTCTGATGACGTTCTGCTTGATTGATCAATACATATTGATACTGAATATTTGAAACGGTTTCAATACTCATTTTCGGCACTATTGATACTCAGATACCAGCTGCACTTCCTGGCTCTGTCTTATTGTTAATGTTTACTGCATTAATAATGATTCTGCTATTAATCAAGAGAAGAAAAGTTGTCATGTTATATGTATCGTTTAATTTAAAAAAGTGTATTTTATGCCACCAATGTCAAGTTTTCCCTCATGGTATCGAGAATAGTAACAAATATTAGGCTAATATTTTTCGAGGTATAGGTAAATTTAGAAATTCAAGTATTGTGACAACACTGATACTGATGAATGATTTTAGTGTATTTCTTACAACTAGAGCTGAAATTAAGATTATTCTAATCAGCAATTTATGTATTAACTGTTTTCTTGTTTAATCGATTAATTGATTGGTCTTGCACCTGACTGATACTGAGTGAATTTTTGGGTTGTACACTTAAAAAATGCACATAATAAACCAAAATTGTGAGTTGCTTTATGGTAAATTTTTAGTACATTGTTTGAGTTATGGAAAAGAGGTAGGATAATACAAGTATTTAATCTTCCTACTCCTTTTGGGATATATAAATATTTAATAATGTTTATGAGAATTTGTAAATCAAGAGTTTGCTTTAGGATTACTGTTCACTTTCTTTTTTATTTTTTGTTTTATTTATATTTTAACACGTTCAAAATAAAGAAATCGAGTTAAAGTCTATAAAATGTCAGCAGATAGTGAATCACACGTTCCCAGAGTCCATGTCTTCAAGCGTGTTGTACTGTTTTGTCTGACCGACAGTCCAATATCTGCAATGATTAATCAATTAATTGATCACAGAAAAACTAATCACAAACTATTTTTAAATTGATTTAACATATCAGTAATTTTTCAAGAAATGATGTCAAACATTTACCATTTCCAGCCTCAGGTGTAGGAATTTGCTGCTTTTCTTTGGCATTTATAATAATAAATTAAGAATATTTGGCTTTTTTTTGACTACTGGTTGGACAAAAGATGCATTGTGAAGATGTTACTTTGGGCTCTGGAAACTGACACGTTGATAGACAACTTAGAAATCCAGGCAATGCTCACATTTGAGAAGCTGTAGCCAGTGAAATTTTGGCAGTTGCTTTAATTGTAACTGTTCCTCTGTAACTGTTACTCTTTTTAATTTTTTTCTTCTGACGTTTGCATAATTTGTTATAATTTAGTTTGTTTAACTTACTTCCCTTATTGTGTGCTAAGTTGTAGTTTTGGAGGGGGTTTTCACCCTAGAGGGCTTGCACTGGACCAAGAACTGTTGCTGCTGCATATGTGGGTAGCCAATTGAGATATGACACTAGCCAGTACAGATAAACTTAACTTGAACTGAAATGAGCAAACAGAGTGATAAGTGATGAGGTGTGTCAGATATGCGAGTCTACCATTTATCAAAAGTAAAGCCTGCTCTGCTCTCTTGAAATTCAGAAATAGAGGGACAGGGCAGGAAAACAGACAGCATGTGGCACTTCATCAGCATTTACAAAAGCACTTACACTCAAAAACATCCGTCACAATGATACACTACCTGATGAACCCTCCTGAACCGGTGTTCACAAACCACCAGAAGAAATATTTAGTCTACCGGTCGAGCACATTTTGCTGTGTGTTTGCTCAACTTTGAAGCAGAGGGACAAGGCGTCTGCCCAGCGGCACAGAGTGGTCATTTCCATTTGAATAGAGGCCCATGGGTGCCCAGTGGGGTTACATTAGCTACAGTAAAAACCATTGTTCCAGCTGTGTCCGTGTGTGTGAGAGAAAGAATGAGGCAGAGACTCCTGTGTGCCTTACAGAGGAGAGCATGACCCCAAAACGAACAAAATATCTGTGTCGAGTACAGGATGCTCAAAAAGAGCAAACGTGTCAGGGTAAGGATAAGTTCAACGAGTCAGACGTTTGCTTTGCTACAGCTGACACAGCAGCGAAATGCCAATCAATACTCATGGGTAATCTGGGCAAGCATGTCAAATGTACAAAGACATTGATTTTCAGAGAAGCTGTAGTCCCATATTAGCTCTCAGAGCCCGTCGCATTCAGGTCAAGCGATGTGTTCGGCTGGTCAACCCCCAAAAAATGGGTGTAGCTAGCAAGCGTTAGCGGTCAACGGTAACTACAGTGTTATTATAAGCTAATGCTAACTAGCTAGGAAACAAGTGTTAGCAATCGATTAAGTTTCTAAACGTGGCTTTTAAGAGTCTGTGTTTCTGTTGACCTGCAAGCAGCTGACTAGTCGGCTGTCTCAGCTGTGAAACCCACATGATAGTGAACAGCTTCTTGACTGTCCTCTCGGTAATTTGGTTAGCATCTCGGCTAACAAGCTAGCACTTGTGCTGCTGTGTTTGCCACACAAAAACCGGATGTTTGGGCTAACAGCGGAGCCGAGAGCCCCGAAGACACTCCGTGGTGTCTGGTTAGGTTTGCCGACATCAACACTTTACAACAGAGGGCTGTAGGTGACACATTTTAGCTCCAGTTAAAACATGCACCGTAAGCTGTTTCTCTCGGTGTCGTTTTTTTACCTGTCAGTCGGATTTTGATGCTGGACCCGTTCCTCCGAGTCCCAGGATTCGACATCACTCCGGGAAAAACGATCACACAAACTTCCCGTTGGAGTCTCCCAAAAACACCGTTTCGCCACTTAACGGGAACCCGAGTAACTTCAGTTTAAAAACATGCGGTTTGTTTGTGTTTTCTTCACCGGTAAAAATGTATTATTTCATCGCAAAGTCCTGTGATCTTTCGAAATCCAACAACACGGGAGAGCATTTTCGGGCAGGCTCAAAGCACGTAATGACGTCATCTCCTTAACGGTATAACGTTACGGGCGCGCGTCCGGGAAGCGTGGGCGTGCCCGTGAGGATATTCCTGGAAACTCCCGACGTTTGGTTTTGCTTTTTAATTTAGGTGCTGCCTTCATGATTAAGTACGAAAAGTCCCCTAATTATTTTATGGGTTAAAAAAAAAAACTTTATTTAACCCGGAAGTCCCATTGAGATTGAAAATCTCTTTTACAAGAGAGACCTGGCCGAGGTAGCAGCCAATCAAAACACATTTAAAAATGCAACAAATACAACATATAATACAAAAATCCACAATAAAACAACATCTATCCAAACATAGTGGCCTCTCAAGAGAAAAGGGCACATGTCTCTGTCACCACATTCTTTATGATGCCCTTAAATTCATCAGTAGATATAAGTGTTTATACTTTTAGATCTTTTTGGAGACTGTTCCATGTCCATGGTGCAGAGTAGGAAAATGCAGTTTTCCCCAGATCTGTTCAAACCCAGGGTACATTGAAAAGCAACCACCTGGGGGAGCGTAGCTGACACACAGAAGGGTGCAGAGGTAGGCCAGAAGTTTGCCCAAAATTGCATAGATTAAAATACACCACTGCTGTTGTCTGCGAATGGTCAGTGATGTCGAACCTACCAAATCATAAAGAAGGCAGTGATGAGTAAGTGACTTTGCATTTGTAAAAAAAAAAAAACATAGATATGCATGGTACACTGAATTTGCCAAAGTTATAATGTCTGGGTTTTTTTAAGGTTTACAAATACAGACAATTAGATACATTTTATTAAGAAATGCAGTAGGATAATAAAGATGTAAGACGGGAAATCAATTATTACAATTAAATGCATTTTGTTTCTATTCTTTATTCTTTATGTGGATCCCCATTAGCTTCCCCAAAGTGGTCACAAAGTGGTTTGACTTTATGATCTATGGATACATTGCTGCTTGTTTTGTTTTTTACCCGTGTCTTGTAAGGTTCTTGAGTGCTCTGAAAGGTGCCTGTAAAGAAAATGCATTATAACAATTATTAAAAATCTGAATCTGCAACTGTATTTTATGCAACTATCGCTATGAAATAAATGTAGAGGTCTAAAAAGTGCAAAATTAGTTTTTGAGATGTAGTGGAAAAGAAGTTTAAAGTTGCATAAAATAATATCACTCAAGTGAAAGTACCTCAAAATTGTTCTTAAGTACAGTACTTGAGTATATGTTCTTATTTGCATTCTACCACTGCAAACAATGTCATTAGGGTTTCATCCTTTGGGCGCCATGAACATATCTGTACCAAACTTCAAGGCAACATGTACTGACTAGGAAGAGACACGAAGAGACCATGAAGAAATGCAAAACAACCAAAAATATACACAAAATGACTGCAGACAGACAGAAAATGAATAAAAAAAGAAACAAAATTATGACAAAGAGGGAAAAAATAACAACAAAAAGAGACAATTACAGCTAAAAGGAAACATAAAATGAATACAAAAGACACTAAATTACCTCAAAAAGTCACAAAATGATGACAAGGAGGCAAAAAATAACAAAAAAAAGGGGCAAAACAACCAAAAAGAGACAGAAAATTATCAAGAAAGACACTAAAAGACCTCAAAGGGCCACAAAATTAGCATAAAGAGGGACAAAACAACAACAACAAAAAAACACAAAACGGCAAAGAAAGACAGAAAATTACCCTAAAAAAAAGACAAAATCACTTCAGAATGACGACTAGGAGACACAAAATAACTACATAAGGGGCAAAACAACCAGGTCGTCCCCACAGACAGTTACATCTTAGATGTTGGAGCTTCCGAAAAGCAACGAGATAGAAGATTTTAAATAACAGTTTTTATTTTAAACTGCCTTTATGCACAAAAATATTAATGATGATAATGCAGATGAGACTATCGCCCAAGAATCAAGTTAAAATAATGCATTACTTTATCTCAAATGATATGACACATTTTAAGAATGTTTGTCAGGATTTTTAAGTGTGGTACAGTCTGATAAAGCCTGAGGGCGAGCTGGGTGGGCAGGGATAATGGCTGGAGGGATTTGGCTCTTTAGCGGCACAGGGGTTAGCTGCATGGCTGCAGTATTAGCTGGTGGAACAATGGACCCTCTCACCAGCCTGTTTACAGGACACAGTAAATCCACATAAGCAGTGAAACGGCTTGCAGGACACCACACACTTCCAGAGGGGAGGCACACACACACACACACACACACACACACACACGAGAGGCACAGGTGGAAGTAATTTTTTGTTTCAGTCTCTTTTTCCCACCTTTTATCCACAACTGCGCATCTGTCTGAATCCCACTTGTGGCTCTATGTATCATGTATGTGTCAACACGCCACAGGTGGCCGTACAGTAGTATTGCCAGAAACACACACTCCCACACACACACACACACAAATCATTTTATCCCTCAGAAACGGTCATGTACAGCTGTTAGTATGATTATGTGATTATGTGTGTGTCTGTGTGAGACTGTACAGTGTGTGTATGAGTTATTCAAAGGGCCGTTGGGACCCTTGAGACCAACTGAGTGTGTTCATAACTACTTAAATAATTCCAGTCATAGAGACAAACTTAGTTATACCCCTGGGACAGACACACACACACACACACACGGATAATGAGGATGAAGTTATTCATTGCACAGAACAGTTGGAAAATCCCAGCGGGAGGCCAAATGTGTGTTTGTTCTTGCAAAATGATTTACACAGAAAAAGAAAAGATAAAAAAAGGTAAAAAAAAAAAACACAAACGACATCAGGCTGTAAAAGAAATGAAGATAACGCTGGACAGTGATTTTATGAAAGGTAGAACAATTTTGCTCCTGAGAATCTGTTTAATGCCAGAAAATCTACTACTAAAACTGTCAGAGATCATTTTAAATATTGTTGCATAATGTGGACTTTTTAACAGAGTCTTGGACTAAGTCAAACCATTAACTCTCCTTAGGCTTACTCTGTGTGTGTGATTAGCATCAGTCTAGATCGCCCTTTAGGAAGCATGGGGAACAGCTGCTTCAGTTCTGAAAAATGAAACTGAGATTGAGGCGACATTTTGGATACGACCAAGACAGTGATGCTATAAATGGATGAAGTTTCCCAATAGACACAAGAGTTTTCTTTTTATTATGTGAATTACTTGGCAAAACTTATTTGGCCGAGAATCAAACTGTGCCTCACATGGTCAGATTACTTCAAGGGCCTAATGCCCCCCCTGATCTTCATCTACAAAATGTCAATCAAATTAACATGTACTGACCAGGAATAGACACAAAATGACTGCAGAGAAAAAGAAAATGATCAAAAATTATACAAAATAACCTAAAAGAGACACAAAATGACACCAAAAAGGGGCAAACACAACTAAACGGAGACACAAAATGACTAGAAAAGACACAAAATTATCTCAAAGACTCACAAGATGATGTAAAGGAGACACGGAATTACTACAAATGGGGTAAAGCAACCAAAAAGAGACACAATATGTCTACAAAAGACACAAAATCACCTCAAAAAGGCTCAAAATGATGACAAGGAGACTGAAAACAACTACAAACAGATTAAAACAACCAGACAGAAACACAAAATGACAAATGACAAAATGACAAAATTTCCCAGAAGAAACAAAAAAATTACCTCATGGAGATACAAAATGACAATAAGGAGGCACAAAACAACCAAAAAGGACACAAAATGATCTCAGAGACACTAAATAACCGTAAGAAGTGGCAAAACAACCAAAAAGAGGTACAATATGACTACAAAAGACTCAAGATTACTCTAAACAAAACACAAAATTACCTCTTAGAGACACAAAATGACCGTAAGGACTACAAAGTAACAACAAAAAGTGGCAAAACAACCAAAAACAGACACAAAATGACTACAAGTGGACACAAAATGGCTAAGAAAGACAGTAAAAAAACCCAAAAGTGACCCAAAATAATCATAAAGATGGACAAAATGATAGCACAAAATGACTATAAAACACACAACATTACCCCGAAGAAACTAAAAATGAACAAATAGAGACACAAAATGACAACAAGGAGGCACAAATCAACCAAAAAGATGCACAAAAGACTACAAAAGACATAAAATTACCCAAAAAAGACAAAATTACCCCCAAAATGATGACAAGAACACACAAAAACACTAAATGACCAAGAAAGATACTAAAAGTCCTTATTGTGACACAAAATAACCACAAACAGGGGCAAAATAACTTAAAAGAGGCACAAAATGGCCACTAAAGACAGAAAATTATCATTAAAAAAGACAGAAAGCCCTTAAAATGATGTCACAGAGACACAAGATAATCACAAAAAGGGGCAAAACAACCAAAAAGAGACACAAAATAACTACAAGGAGACACAAAATAGCCAAAAAAGACCTTGAATATTGCGAAAAGACAACATAAAAGTGGCAAAATTACCACAAAGCCTGAGTTGTGTTTCTAGTCCTGTGTAGGAGAGAGGGGGTGGCGCCTTTAACATGTCTGTGCCCAGGGGCCCATTGTCCCATAATTGCCCCATGGTGCCTCAGAAATCTGGCATTGTCCCTATCTACAAGGGACTGTTTTAAAATCACATATGACACACACACGTACTCTGCCATATACAGATAAAATAGTGCATCTTGCTGGACAGTCTGATGAGCAGCAGAGTGAACAGTGCTGTAAAAAAAATATGAGAAAAATGTCCCTCTGTTTCTGCGTGTTCATGGTTTTAATTTAAGAGGCCTGACTCATCCCAGTCCCCACTGTCAGGGCCAAGGCACGGTGGGATGAAAATCGAGGTCTGGTAGGGCGGAGATGTGGAGAAGATGGATTGAGTGATGGGGCGAGGAAAGGAGATGGGTTCAGCCTGAGTGATGGCTTTCCAGGGAAACCCTAAATGGACGGAGGCAGATTGAAGAATTCCCAGATCCCGCGCTGCCAGGCAGATAGGAGGGATGAG